ATCTCGCAGAGGGACATTTGTGATTTCGAAGTAGGCCTTTTTGCAGTCGCTGATCCGAGAGATACCCAACTCAACCCAATCACGTGGCAAACGCTTTCGGCACTTTTGTGCTGTCTTACGTCGTGTGGATTAACCAGGCGCTGGGATTGGCAAGCACAGCTTAAGTGAATTCGAAAGCCCCGGCCGATTTTCCATTACTTCAAATTTCACCAGGAAAGTCGACCCTTGCATGTAGGATAGCATTTCTGATTCCAGAGCCTCAGCCAATCCCAGGACGTTTGCTTCCTCAGTTACTTTAGATTTCTCCCGCTCCTTAACGATTTTTTTTTCAGATTGTTAAACCGCTTTTGCCGGTTCAATTTTCGCTGCTTCACCGACGTTTTACGCCGACCGTTTGGCTTGATTCCTTTTTGGATGGACCAAATACGAGGAATCGTATCTTTGTTCTTTTTCTTTGTCTGGGCAGTCTCTAGCAGTGCAATTCTCACATCACTTGTCGCAGCGACCGGAGTAAAACGAGCCTGACCACTATCTGGAGTCTAAACTGCTCCCTTGCACTTATTTCCTTATCATCCGAATCGTTCTTGAGAGTGATCACCTCAGTTGACTCTGGATTTGAGTCATGTTTCCCATCACAAGGATCGTCGTTGCTATTGTTTGGGGTTTCTGGTTCATCAGCTGAGCGTTCTTCTGTAAAACACGGTTTAGCTTTCAAGGGTTCGACATTCGATCTTTTTTTGCCGTTTAGACAAGTGACAGCTCGCTGTAGAGATTCGAGTTCTCCAACCTGGAAGGCGGCAGCCAATTGTTCCAAAATGTTCACCCCCTGTTCGTACTGCGAGGTTCCATATTCACTAAGTGCTTCGGCAATACGTTTTGCTTTCTCCAGCGTTTCACAATACTTTCGTTTGTCGTTCATCGATTTTTGAACTGGTGCTTTCTCGATCACACTTTCAGAATATCCACTGATATCATAATCTGTTTGTAGAAAAGCTTCAAGCATGACTGACGAGTTGTACTTCCACGTAGGATTCAGGGAGCTAAACGAAATAACGTCCTCACACTTCTGACGCCTCCGGAGATACATTAAATTCTCAAGGTAACTTCTGGGTGAAACCTACCTAGCAAAATGATGACCAGGTCTTCACATCAAGTTGGCACATCGTTGCCGTACTCGATACATAAAATGTATCGTTTTCATTCTGTTGAACTTCATAATAGGTTGTCGCTCTAACAGCAATATCATACTCCGTTTTATTAGTGCCGAACGCAAATTGGCTCACGCTTTGAGCCAAACGTTCTAATTCAGAGTTTTGTTGTAGCGAACAATCAAGAACCTGGCCAACGCGAGCTACATCCTTTACGAAAGCCTTCTGTTTCACCTTCGCCCGCCATATTAAGCTAGTTATTGTCTCCCGATTTCGACGCTATGATCCACTAATGTCTTGATCTTTTGCCACGATTATTCGAGACGATTGTTGGTGTTATTACCGATATGTTCCGCATTGTCACGACAGAAAGAAGCCCACATATCCCGGTAATTATTCCAATTAGCCACAAATAGATCCAAAACATCGGAATTTCCGCATCATCTCCATCGACAGGCACTTGTAGTTCATCTTTCATGATTACGGTCAGCCTGTTGTAGTCATTCTCAGTCTTACCCTTTACGAGTAGGCTCATGAGAGGCTTCAATCTGCTTCTCTGCACCGAATCCAGTCCGTACTCGCTCTTCGCAACCTGTTCCTGTAGATACTTTACTGCGTGGACTGGCACAGAAGTATTCGTGCTTCTGGTAGCTCAGATAAAAATACGCTGATCGCCTTGATATCTTTGTCCATAACTACGCACTTGATCTCCGGCCAGGACGGGTTGCTTCGTTTAAACTGCTTTATAGCGAGTCGTAAGATTTCTGTGCGCTTGTCCGTGATGAGAGCGTGCTAGTATCATAGTAAAGCAATTTCAAGTTAGAAATAATGTAAAAATGACACAACTACCTACAGAACACAATATAAAACCTGATACAAACTGCAACAAAGAAGCACAAACCGATACAAAATGCCACGTTCCGTATACTGTTGTAGCGAATCAGCGGTTGGTGTGGGCCACGACGCAGATGGTCCAACGGTGGATCGGCAGCACAGGTGGTTCACGTCCGACTCCGCGATCATGGAAGACCAGACGGGCAGAACTGGAGAGGGCGGCTTTACGGCCGTTTGGATGCGAAATGTAGGGGGCCAGAACGAAGTGAGTGACATTGCAGTACCACTGGGTCAGCCAGCACGTCAGAGCTTGGACTCACTTAAGGGCGTGCGACGACCGCGAGACTCGCTCAGTTGGGAACTTGCGCCGTGAGACACAAGTGGCGAGTGCGAGACGGACGTGAGCGAGTAGACGTACACGAGTGCGGCGAGTTGACGAGGCATTGCGAGACAGACGTGAGCGAGGAGACGTACACGAGTGAGGAGACGAACGTGAGTGTGAGACTGACGTGGGCGAGGAGTGTGAGAATTCGTAGAAGAACTCGAAGTAGTATTAGCAAGTCGGCTAGTAGCTACCTGAATATAAATAGGAGCGGACACGTGAGTGGACGATCCGGCGCAGGAACTAAGTGGCTCCTGTCGGCCAACATTTCAGTGGGTCATCGACTGCCAGACACGAACGACGCAGCGCAGCACGGTGCAGCTGTACGACCTGCCCCACAGCCGGACAAGACAATTGGCCTGTTTCATGGTGGTCATACAGGGGCTAAACACGACTAAAACGCGTGCATCACGAGATAAGATGGCAAGTACGAAGACGCAAACGAAGTCGAGGAGTTCGCGGGTAAAGCGGGTCAAGACGAGGAAGTCCCCTCGAATCGGGTAGTTTCAAGGAGCGACTCAAAAGGAGAAGGAACAGCGCGACGGACAGGATGACGATGGAGAAGACGACGCCGGTGCGTTACAGGGTGACACGCACGGAGAGACTGGAGAGGAGTCAGCGGCCGGGAGCGCTGCTGGCACTAGAAACATTCCGGGTGAAGCGGTGCCTCCGCAGTCTGATGCGATGATCATGGCGGCGGCAATCGATGAGCTACGCGCGATGGTGCAGAATCTGCAATCTGCTCCACACGACGCTGAGCACGAGGACGAGCACGAGGAGCGACGCCACGGACGACGGCAGAGCAGTGAAGCAACAAGAAGACGACGTAGTTACGGGCGTTCGCAACGATCACGACGACACCGTAGTGATAGCGAGGGCTCGGAAGACGAAGAGGGGAGACGGAGGCGTGCGATGTCACGGAGGCCGACAAGATCCGGACGATCATCAGGCAGTGATGACCATGGAGACGAGAGTGATGACGGCGACGCTTCCGACGATTCGCCTAGCAGCAGCGAGAGCAGTTCAGAGGAGGAGAGCAGCTCAAGTGACGACAGTAGCGACGCTGAGGATGAGGACCTGAATTCGAGTAGCGAATCCGAGCGCTCGCACCGAGGTGGACGACGGGACCGACGTGATCGACACGACCGGCGAAGGAGTCGAGAGTTGGATGAGCAGCCGAGGCGGAAGAGCGTGAAGGAGCTAGAGCTTCCCACGTTCACACCGTCGCCGAAGGTGTCCGTGTCGACTTGGATCGACCGAGTCGACCTGGCCCTTAAGGGAGCTGAGGAGTCGGGACGAGGGCAGTGGACTGACCGGGCACTATACTTCATCATGGGTAATAAACTGATGGAGAACGCGGCACGGTGATGGGTTAATATGGACCGGAGACTGAAGGATCGCAAGAGACGGTGGACTTACCTGAAGAAGGCACTTCTGAGACGATATGGCGAGCGACTTGACAAGTTAGCCGCTGAATGGCGTGTCAACAGTAGGAGGATGTGGCCTGGAGAGACGTACGCCGACTACGCAGCCGTGCTCCGGGAAGTGGTCGGTAAGAACCGAGTGAGCGAGCGAGTACTATTAGCTCAGTTCTACAGGTGTCTTGACAAGACTACGAGGAAGTTGGTGCAGCAGAAACCCAAGCCGAAGACTTTGGAGAAAGCTGTTGCCAAGGCAACGAAGATCGATGATCCGATGGAGAATGTGGCGTTGGGGATGTCCAACATCGGGCAGGCGTGGGCGACCGCTCCCAGCCCATACCTGGTACCAATGGCGGGGACGATGGGTCAAACCATGAAGATTCCGGGCGTCGGTGGTGCGGGTCTTCCGGCTGGTATGGCAGCGATGGCAGGACACGCAGGCACCGCCGGCAGTGAGGGAGGAGGTGTGGCTCTGTTTACCAACCCTCAAGGTGTGTGGAACGACTATTCCGGTACCTGGGACGTGCCACCAGGCCACACCTGGAATGGCAAGTACTGGGTCGCAACCAAGAGCGGGCGGAAGAGAACGCAGGACGCGCAGACGTCGAGTAAGAATCCGGAGCGGAAGAGTCGAAGCCATCGGGACGAGGAGTCCAGTGGCGCAGAATCCGATGCGAGGCCGGTGAGAAAGAAGACGAAAGCAGCTGTGAGGCAGTCGGCGGGGCAAAAAGACAGCTCCATGCCGCCAAGTGTAGCAAGCAGACCTCCATTTCATTGCTACAAGTGTGGAGAAGTCACCAACGTGGTGGCGGTGTGTCCGAACGGGGTGAAGTGTTTCGCGTGCGGGGAGTTTGGTCACTTGGCTAGAGACTGCACGAACGTCGAGGCCAAGTCGCGGAACGAGGCACGACGGAAGCCGCGCGACGAAGATAAAAAGTCTGAGGAAAACTAGGTGCGAACGTGGTGAGGGGACTACGGCGTCTGGTTTTACTGGTGGATCCCCGGCAAGCGGTGCGGGCCAAGGATGAAGAAGTGACGACCGACGACAGGCAAGGCGCAGAGGAGCAGACGTCGGTGGCAACGAGGGTGAGTGAGCAAGGCGAGAGAGAGAACGAGGGCACGCGCGTAAGTGCGGTGTTGGAGGAGATGAACGCGGAGGTGTTGGCAAAGGACGGAGAGAGGGCGAAGCGTTACATAGCCACGGTACGACCTCCAATGGCGGGTGCGCGGTTGGTGCGGGCAACGGCACGAGTGAGAGGCGAAGGGGGCGAGAGGACGCTTAAAGATGAAGGAGAAGCAGGCCAGTCAGGAGAGGGCGCGTCGATGAGTACTGCTGACGGACGGGCAACGGCGGTGGAGAAGGTGGAGAGTGCTGACGACGTCGTGGTACGCCGGAGAGCTGAGCGGCGGCAAAAGCATCGAGAGGTGAAGCGAGCGCAAGTGAGAAGAGCGAAGGCTAGTCGTCAGACCCGGGCACTGGCACAGGAAGAGGAACTGTGAACGGCAGACGAAGTGCGGCGAGCAACTAGGCTAGAAGATAGAAGCAGCGCACTAGCGGAGCTGAGTTGCCGTCGTGCAGCCCACGAAGGCGACGTGCGCGGCCACCCGGGTAGAGAAGCAGCACGCGTGAGTCTGGTGCAGCGGCGGTCGGTCACCCAGGCCTCACAGGAGCGACAAGACGCCGGTGACGTTGAGTATGTTGGTGCTGACGACGGGCTACCTACTGCGAGAATGGAAGTCGGGGGAGCACCTCGTCATGTAAAGCTGGACAGTGGCGCCAGGTACACGATTGCTGGGACCGACTGGATGGAGTTTGGTGATCGCATCGACATGGAAGCTCCGGTGGACTATGTGGAAGGGATCGGCGGGTTCCTGCTCGACGTAGTAGGTGTATGGCGGTTCAACTTGAGCAACGTGTTTGGGGAGATCATTAGTGTGGACGCGTGCATTGTGGACGGATGCACTGACGAGTTCTTGGTGGGCGTGGACTTCATGCGAAGTCACGGAGCGACGATGGACTTCCAGAGTAACGAGGTGAGGTACCGCGATAACGGAAGGCTAGTTGTCATCCCGTTTCGGACGTACGACAAGGAAGGAAGCGTAAAGGTAGCAGCGGTACGTGGGCCAGACGTATGCGGATTGCGGGGAGTGCAGTGACTCCGGTGGAAATTGCGATAGCAGCAGAAGACGGCGAGCAGGGCATCTTTATACCGACGCGAAGTGCGGGACCCGTAATGCTGGCAGCTACGGTGACTCGTGCACGTAATGGAAAGGCGTGGGTTCCGGCAATTAACTCCGGCGATGGCGAAGCGAGGCTGCCACCTAAGAAGGAATTAGGCAAGTGGATATCTGTAGATGAGGAAATGACGGTACTGGCAGTAAACGGAGAATTGCAGCGTGAACGAGTCCTATCTTGGTTGAGTGAATTGGGTGATGTCGATACGCACTAGCTAACGAGGACGACGTAAAGATTGGAGAGACAAACGAGGGCAGTCGGCGGTTAGTGATGCAGTTGTTGCGGACCTATCGTGGAACCACGGAAAACATGGACGATTGCCCTCCGGCAACCACCTTGAATGTCGAGCATCATATCGAAACTGGCGACTCGGCTCCGATTATGTTGAAGAGGCGGCGGTTGGCACAGACGGACGACCCCGTGGTCACCACCAACGTAAAGAAGATGCTAGACGCCGGTGTCATCGAGGAGGGAGAAGGAGCTTGGGGGTTTCCTGTGGTGTTAGTCAAGAAGAAGGATGGTGAAGTGAGATTCTGCATCGATTATCGGGCGCTCAACAAAGTGACCAAGAAGGACGTATATTCGTTGCCCAGAATTGATGAGACTATCGAGGCACTTGGAGGTGCGGTGCTGTTCACGACGCTGGACTTGAAGGCTGGTTACTGGCAGATACGAGTGGCAGAAGCGGATCGGCTAAGACGGCGTTCACTACGAAGCAAGGCTTGTATCAGTTTGTGAAGGATGCCGTTCGGATTAACGAACGCGACCTCCACGTATCAGCAAATAATGAACAGTGTTCTGCGTGGGCTAACGTGGATGACCTGCCTAGTGTACTTAGATGACATTGTTGTTTTTACGCGTGGTGGTATCGAGCGACATGTTGTCGAAGTAGCGTGTGTGTTGGAGCGGCTGGCGGCGGCGGGACTGACGCTGAAGTTGAAGAAGTGTGTCTTTGCCACGCGAAGGATGAAGTATTTGGGCCACGAGCTCAGTTCTGAAGGTGTTCGGCCTCTGGAACGGTTGGTGACAGCAGTACGCGACTTCCCACGGCCAGTGGACGCCATGGAAGCTAAGAGGTTCGTACATCTGGCCGGCTATTACCGACGGTTCATTGCGGGATTTGGATCATTGATGGCTCCAGTCACGAAGTTGCTGCGGAAGCGTGCGGAGTGGGAGTGGGGTGACGCCCAAGAAGCGGCGTTCCAGCGTGTGAAGGAGATCTTGACGACGAAGCCGCTGCTTATTTACCCCAACTTTAAGTTGCCGTTTCGTCTGGTGACGGACGCTAGTAAGGTAGGGCTCGGTGCGTGCCTAATGCAGGATCGCGGTCGCGGGTGGCAACCGGTGGCGTACGCAAGCAAGGTGAACAGTGTGGCGGAGGGCAACTACGGAATTACGGAGCTGGAGTGTGCGGCGGTCGTCTGGGCCATCAAGCTGTTTAGGCCTTACGTGTACGGAAGGGCGTTCGTGATCGTGATCGATCATGCCGCACTCAAATGGCTGATGACTAGCCCAAATTTGACGGGCAAGTTGCACCGCTGGGCTTTGACGCTGCAAGAATTTGAGTTCGAGGTCGAGTACCGGCCGGGCAGTACCAATGTGGTGGCTGACGCCTTGTCCAGGGCGCCGGTCAAGCTTGCAGCGAAGGCGGTAGGCAGACGGCGGCGGGCAAGACGACGTGGATCTGCCCATGGATTGGCATCGGAGGTGGGTGCGGCGGTCGGCGTGGCCGCGAGGACGGAGAAAGCGGCTACTCCAACGGACGGATTGCCGAGTGCGGAGCGGATGGTGGCGACGACGGCCGGCGACGATGGTCAGCGGGCGGGAGCGGAGGCGGCAGCAACGGAGATGACGGTAAGCTGGGAGCCGCCGATGCGGGGCGAGGCTCTAGCGGAGAGGGAGGTGCGTGGTCGTGGTGACACGAGGCCAGCGGTGGTGACGGCGCCTCCTCTCACGCGAGCAGCCAAAAGACACCTGGAGGCCACGCAATCGGCGGCGGTAGGTAAGTCAGCTAGTAAAGACGATGGGCAAGCACAGGAAGTAGCTGCAAAGACGGCAGTGAACCCGCCGCGAGCCGACTTGAAAGACGATGGGCGTGCACAGGAAGTAGCTGCAAAGACGGCGGTGAACCCGCCGCGAGCCAAACCTAAAGACGATGGGCGAGCACAGGAAGTAGCTGCAAAAACGGCAGTGAACCCGCCGCGAGCCAACTTGAAAGACGATGGGCGAGCACAGGAAGTAGCTGCAAAGACGGCAGTGAACCCGCCGCGAGCCAAAACTAAAGACGATGGGCGAGCACAGGAAGTAGCTGCAAAAACGGCAGTGAACCCGCCGCGAGCCAAAACTAAAGACGATGGGCGAGCACAGGAAGTAGCTGCAAAAACGGCAGTGAACCCGCCGCGAGCCAAAACTAAAGACGATGGGCGAGCACCGGAAGTAGCCGCAAAGACGGCGGTGAACCCGCCGCGAGCCAAAACTAAAGACGATGGGCGAGCACCGGAAGTAGCCGCAAAGACGGCGGTGAACCCGGAGCGAGCCGACTTGAAAGACGATGGACGAGCGCGGAAAGTAGCTGCAGAGACGGCGGTGAAACCAGCGCGAGTCAAAACGAGGGGTGACGAACGAGTATCAGCAGTGGCAGCGAAGGGTGCTGAGCAATCTAGGGAAGTGGAGCCTGGTGCCGAACGACGCAATGCTGGAGAGGGCGCAGTCACCGGAAGTAGTCAGAAAAAACGGCTGGTGCGGCGCAAGGTGAGATTTGATGTACCAGTCGCTGCCGGTCCGAAGGCAACAAAGTGGTCGGGTGGGCTGAGAGCGCGACGAGACGCAAGAGCGAAGTGGCCAGCGGCGACGGTGGCGAAACCAGTTGCGTCGCGGGTACTCGCCAAATCGGGCGAGCGAGGAGAAAGAGGTAATGAGGCTGAACCAGCGGAGGTGACGGCGCGACGGAAAGGGGCACGTGCGGTAGAGAGGGGAGAAATCGGTGGACGACGAAGCACAACGACGCCGTATGCGCACGAGCAGCAGTCGGAGTCCGGAGCGGCGGTTGGTGAAGTGAACGAACGGGTGTACCCCATTCAAGGACCTTCGGGAGAGCAGACGGTATCGGAATGAGAAACGACGGTGATGCAGGTTCCGGTCGTTAATGATCATACGGACGAGCTGCGAATGCCTCCAACGCTACAGATGACGGATGACGCTGTGATCGCGGCGCAGCGTCGTAGTAAGTGGGTGCAGAGAGCAGTTCAAGATGGCAAGTATCGAGGCGTAGCGGTGCAGCTTCGACACGGGCTGGTGACAGTAGAGACGCCACGAGGACGGAGAGTAATGTTGCCACCTGAAAGATTGGCCAGTGGCGTTTAAGGTTCATCATGATTCGGTATGGGCGGGTCACTTGAGGGCGCCCCATACGTACGAGCGGATCGCGCAGCATTACTGGTGGCCAGACTTGCGAAGAGAGGTGAAGAAATGGGTGCGTGGCTGTCAAGAGTGCGGTAGCCGCAAGGCAAAGCCGCGCGAAGTAGTTCCCCCGTTGCGGAGTATCAGAGGCGGAGACGTTGGTGATCGTTGGGCGCTTGACGTCGCGGGACCCTTACCGGTTGCAGGTGGAGGACAGCGGTACGTCATAGCGGCTGTTGATTATGTGACGCGCTACGCGGTGGCGAAGGCGGTGAAGCACCACACGGCCGAGAACGTGGCCAAGTTTATCATGGATGAGGTCGTGTTGAAGTTTGGTGTATTTCGAGAGTTGTTGACGGATGGAGCTCCGGAGCTGGCAGGACGAGTGATTGAGCAGCTCGTGATGCTGCTGCAGGCACAGCAGATCAATCCGGTGCCGTACCGGCCCCAGATGATCGGCCTCGTGGAGCGGTTTCACCGCACTTGGAAAGATTGTGTGGCCACCTACATGAAGACCGACGCGCAGAACGATCGGGCGGAGTGGATTTCTTTTGCAGTGTATGCGTACAACTCCGGGCATCACTCGACGGTGGCGCTGTCCCCGAACGAGCTCATGATGGGGAGAATGCTGCGCAGCCCGAACGAGTTACTACAGCGGGCACAGGTGACGGAAGCAGGAGATTTGGCGGGGTATCACCGGCAATTGTTGGTGGCGTTGAAACGGAGTCATGTGGCCGCGGAGCGTGCACGGGTACGTGAGCAGCTACGACAGGCGCGGTATTATAACCGCAACGTGAGGAATCGGCGGGAGCTCGCGCCAGGCGACCGAGTGTGGATGTATCGGCCTCCCAGAGGCCCTAAGTCG